TACGTCGTGGCCGACCGACGGCCACTCTCTTTCTCTTGATAGTAGCACCAATAAACAGGTCTAGGACGAAGCTCGCGCTCACGTCGTCCTCCACGTTGAAAGTGAGGACGAGGGAACTGATTCGCAAGTTCTCAACATGGACTCGATTAATCCGAGTCACGGCTTACGTACGACGCTTCATTTCTCGCACGAAGCGCCAGAAATCCGAGCGTACGTCGCTCGTATTGACAGTACCTGAGCTTCGCGAAGCCGAAATGTTTTGGTTCCGCTACGCGCAAAAATTCGCATTTGCGCCGGAAATTAGAGCCTTAAGCACTAATTCGCCTCTTTCGCGATCCAGCCCCCTAAGGGCTTTGCATCCGTTCGTAGATGAGAACGCCTTACTCCGTCTTGGCGGGCGGTTGCAGAACGCCGCTCTCAGCTACGACGAGCAGCACCTGATAATACTTCCCAGGGATCGAGTCGCCGAGCTGCTGATTCAGCGCGCGCACAAAGCCACTCTGCACGGTGGAACGCAGCTGGTCATCCGCACGCTTCGACAGCGGCACTGCATAATCAGGTGTCGTAAGGCAGTTAAATCCCACATTCGCGCGTGCGTTACGTGCACGCGTTACTCCGCGCTACCTTGCTCGCAACTCATGGGAAACCTTCCCGCTTCTCGGGTCAACCCGTCGCCGCCGTTCGACCACACCGGAGTGGACTACGCCGGTCCGTTTAATGTTCTTCCGCTGGTCGGACGCGGACAAAAAACAAGAAAAAACTACGTCGCTTTATTCATCTGCCTCGCCACGAGGGCCGTGCACCTCGAGCTGGTCGAGGACTATTCCGCGGACGGTTTTCTGGCCGCATTCCGTCGGTTCTCGTGCCGTCGCAGGTTACCGCGTTGGATGTACAGCGATGACGGTACCAATTTCCACGGTGCCGACCGCGAACTGCAACGACAGTTTCACGCTTTGAAGGATCACCCCGAAATACGAGATGTTCTCGCCGCCGATGGCGTGGAATGGGAGTTCGTCCCGTCGGCCGCTCCGCATTTTGGCGGTCTGTGGGAAGCCGGAGTGAAGAGCTTCAAAGCTCACTTAAAGCGAGTCGTCGGGGCTCGCACGATTTCTCGGGCGGGATTCGCGACGCTTCTGTGTCAGATAGAAGCCTGCTTGAACTCGCGTCCGATTGCTGCTCTCAGCGACGATCCCAGCGACATGTCCGCGCTCACGCCCGGACACTTCTTGATAGGGCGTCCAATGATCGCGGTTTCGGAGGAATCCGTGTTCAAGATCAACCCGGACCGCCTTTCCTGCTGGCAGCTAGTGAGCTCCATGCGGGAGCAATTCTGGCGTGCCTGGTCGCACGATTATTTGTTATCGCTTCAGACGAGAACCAAGTGGCGAGACGCCGCACCAAATTTAGAAGTCGGTGATCTCGTCATTGTAAAAAACCCTTTGCTCCCTCCGAGCAAATGGGAACTCGCGAGAATCCAGCAAGTTCATCCCGGGTCCGACGGACTCGTCCGGGTGGTTACGATACGCACTGCGCGTTCTCTACTGAAGCGACCTATAACGCAACTGTACAAGTTGCCCGTAAGTTGTAAAACGTCGGCGTCAGAAAGCGACTGATCGCCCGTTCTCCTTCTCGTTCGTTTTCATTGTTTTATTTTTGCGCCGATCCTTGTCTGCATCGCGTGCTTAGTCAGTAAATATCAAACGTTTAATATAAGGTTTAATTATATACATGCTTTGTAATGCGCTAACGACTGTACACTTAGCGTTAATTACTTTATTGTGTCTTCGTCCCTACCTATAGGGTCATTTAAAATTCTTTATTCGGCTAGCGTCAATCGCTGTCGCTCTTTGCGTTCCTTAGCTCGCGTTGCGACTAAGAGAGAGTGTCTTCGATGTCATCACGTACTTTTACCCT